CTGTACTGTTGAGGTATCCCTGGCTTCTCCCCTTGCTCTGGGGAGGGGGCGCAGTGGGGATTTCAGGGCGTAAGGACCTGGGCCGGCGACTTCCTGCTTCTGTGCTTGGAGACGTGAGCGCCAGGCCGGCTAGCGTGGGCGCCGTCCTGGTGCGCTCTGAAGAGCTGGGGGCTCAGAGCCGGGCGGGGGGGCCTCAGGGCTCCTGGGAGGGGAGTCCCATGGTCTGGAGCAGAGGGATGGGGAGTCGGGGAGCCCAGCTTTGGGAGGAACGGGGCCTGTAGGAATAAGGCCTTGATTCGTCCTCTCTCGGGCCCCTCTGCCTCTGGTTTCCCCCTGTGAAATGGAAGAGTCGTTTGGGTGTCATCCGGGTGGGCAAAGTGCCGTGGCGCGAGACCCTACCTGGGTCTCCATTTCCATGCGACAGATCCAGTAACACCTCGGGGCTTCCAGGAGCAGCAGGACAAAGGGTGTGGGGAGACAGCGTTGTTTCCATTTCACAGATGGGCAAGACTGAGGCCTTGAGGGCTCAAGCGGGAATTGGTGGCAGCACTGGGATATAAGCCCCGCTCGCCTCCTGGCCCTTCCGAGCAGTGACCCGGGGAGGGGTGGGAGCAGGGAGGGGAACTGGGGCAGAGCTCAGCCCCGTGTCTGCCAGCCTTGCATGGACTGTGCTGCTCGCCTGCAGCCATGGGGAAGATGCTCTCCAAGATCTTTGGCAATAAAGAGATGCGGATTCTGATGCTGGGCCTGGATGCGATAAGCCCCGCTCGCCTCCTGGCCCTTCCGAGCAGTGACCCGGGGAGGGGTGGGAGCAGGGAGGGGAACTGGGGCAGAGCTCAGCCCCGTGTCTGCCAGCCTTGCATGGACTGTGCTGCTCGCCTGCAGCCATGGGGAAGATGCTCTCCAAGATCTTTGGCAATAAAGAGATGCGGATTCTGATGCTGGGCCTGGATGCGGCTGGCCCATCCTCTACAAGCTGAAGCTGGGCCAGTCAGTCACCACCATCCCCACGGTCGGCTTCAACGTGGAGACGGTGACCTACAAGAACGTCAAGTTCAACGTGTGGGACGTGGGGGGCCAGGACAAGATCCGGCCCCTCTGGCGACACTACTACACAGGGACCCAGGGGCTGATCTTCGTGGTGGACTGCGCCGACCGCGACCGCATCGACGAGGGCCGGCAGGAGCTGCACCGCATCATCAACGACCGGGAGATGCGGGACGCCATCATCCTCATCTTCGCCAACAAGCAGGACCTGCCCGACGCCATGAAGCCCCACGAGATCCAGGAGAAGCTGGGCCTGACGCGCATCCGGGACAGGAACTGGTACGTGCAGCCCTCCTGCGCCACCTCCGGGGAAGGACTCTGCGAAGGGCTCATGTGGCTGACGTCCAATTACAAATCTTAATCCCGGCTCCGCCTCCCCGCGCCCGCGTCCGTCTCTCGCCCCGGCGGCCGGCCGGTGGGAGCCGAGCCCCCCATGGGGGTGGGGTGTCAGCAAGGCTGCGGGTTGTGGGGGCTGCTCCTTGCCTGCCCTCTCCTGATTGAGAGTTCATTTCACTAACTTGGAGGGGGCTGCCCCCACCCCCTCTTCCCTCCGCCCCACGGTTCTGCTCACCGGGGCGGGTGGGAGCGAGCGGTATGGGGCAGGGAATCCCTCCCGGAGCCAGCCAGCGGGGGGGGGCAAGGCCCCCGACGCCCAAGGAGAAGGAAATACAGGGCCAGTTGGAGTGACAGCTGCACGTCCCTTCAAACTGCTGGAGCCTTATGGCCCCCCCCAATCCCTGGGGGGCCGTCCCTGTAGCGCCAGCTCAGCTGGAGAAGCCCAGGGTGCTGCCTGGCAGGCCGCCCCAACGCTCCTCCCAAACCGGTTTCCCCAGCCCGTGGGCGGGATTCTGCCCCGGGGGGAGTGACTCTTCTCCCTGCCCCGCCCTGGCCTGCTGGGGCGTCCCTCTCCTGGGACAGCAGTGGGCTTTGGATCGGGCCCTGTGGGTGCAGCTGTCCCCCTTCCCCCACTGGTAAATGCCTCCCCCTGCATGGCTCAGGCCATCTGCCCGTAGGCCTGTGCTGGGCGAGGGGGTCCCGGGGCCCCTCGGGGCTGGGCCTTCGCTCCTTCCAGGGGGTGTCCCAGGAGCCCGTCCCAGCGGAGTCCCTGCTGTTGGCCGGGGGGGGGGGCCCTGCCCCAGCTCCCCATGGCTGCTCTGCCCTCTTAGCATCCGCCTCCCTGCAGGCAGCCAAGGCCCCTTGCCCAGAGAAGCCCTCCCGCAGAGGGGGAACAGCTACACCCGGCTGGCTCTGTCTGCCTGGCCCTTCTTCCTGGAGGGGGCAATGCAGGGCCCGGTGCAGGGCCGAGCTGGAGCCCTTCCCTCGCGCCCAGAACGCCTTGCACCGAGCGCCAGGCCTTCCCTCCCCTCTGATGTCAGGCGGCCGCCCTGCGGGGGAGGGGGGGGGCCAGGCCATGCCGCCACTGGAGGAACCTGCTAGTCGTGGTGGGGGAATGCTCGAGCCACGCCCACGGCTGGCACCCGGCCTTGTGCTCCGGGCTGGGGAGGGCTGGCCTGGGATCTCTAGAGCCATGGCCCCGACCCCCCGCCTGGGCAGCCCTGGGGAGATTGCAGGCTGCCAGCCCTGCGGGCCGCTCGCCCTCCTCCCAGGGCGGGGCCCCGGAAAGAATGAATCGGAGTCGGCAAGGGGCGGGGCCCCTCACTGCCGGCAGCCCCCGTCTGCCCGGCCCTTCTGGCCCCAGCCTGGCAGCCTTGATGCCGCTCCGCCGGGGCTGCCTCTCGCTCGACACCGGCTGCTGCCCGGCCCTGGCCCCTCCTGTGCTGCTGCCGCCTCCGGGGTGCCACTCGCCCCTCTCCCGCCCCCCTGCCGCGCACACAGAGCCCTGGCACTGCCGTAGGCGCAGAGGGGCCGTGTTCCTTTCACGTTCCGGCTTGGTCCGCGTAACTTACCGGTTGCCCCCTTCCAAAGCCCCCTCCGCCCGCCCTGCCGGGCCAGCTGGTGCGCACGCGGAGCCGAAGCCAGGGAAGGCTGCGTGCCTGGTGGGGGGCAGGTGGGGGCTCCTCTTCCTGCCACACCCCCCCCGCCTTGTCCCCCTTGTGCAGCGTGAGCAAAAGCACTTAAAAGTCTGCGGCTGCTGCCAGGGGGACGCTGCGCACGAGTCCCGCCTGCTCGGTGCCGGCCGCCCGCCCCTCCCGGAGTCCCCCCGCGCCGAGCACAGCCTGGGCAGGGCCCTAAGGCATCTCAGGGGTGCGGTGAGCAGACCCCGAGCGGGGCCGGCTGGGCCGCCTCGTGTTCACCTGCGCTGGGGCGAGGGGCCCGAGGCCGCCCCCGCAAACCTGCCTCCCGAGGGGGAGCCTCCTGTGCCTTCACTGAAGTGCCACCCTGCTTCAAGGAGAGCACGGTGCTCGCTGGGGACTGGACCCTGGCTGGGGCGCTGCAGCCCCCGCCCCTGACTGTCTCTGGAATCCGGAAAGGCCCCCGCCGCCTCCGGGCCTCTTCGGGAAGCGTCTCCCTGCGGCCGGAGCCCCTCGGGCGGGAAGCGTCTCCCTGCGGCCGGAGCCCCTCGGGCGGGAAGCGTCTCCCTGCGGCCGGAGCCCCTCGGGCGGGAAGCGTCTCCCTGCGGCCGGAGCCCCTCGGGCGGGAAGCGTCTCCCTGCGGCCGGAGCCCCTCGGGCGGGAAGCGTCTCCCTGCGGCCGGAGCCCCTCGGGCGGGAAGCGTCTCCCTGCGGCCGGAGCCCCTCGGGCGGGAAGCGTCTCCCTGCGGCCGGAGCCCCTCGGGCGGGAAGCCTTCCCAAGGCTCCTGCCGCTCACACCGGTCTTAAAGGGTTTTTCCTTTTTAATCTTTACGCAAATGAAAATCTTTTTAAAGAACTGCCCTGGCTGCCGTCTGGTGCTTTAGGAGGGTCTGTCCACGCAGGGGTCTGGTTCTGTATTCCCGCCCCGGCCCCGTGTCTCCTGTGGGGCAGGGTTAGCGCTCTGGGACCACTCCCCCCTTCTGCGCCTCGGTTTCCCCAGCTGTCCCGAAGGGGCTGTGCCGCACGCAGGGCCCTGGCTGGAAAAGGCCAGGCCGAGCGCCAAGCTGAGCACCTGGGGGGAGTGGGGCTCTGAAACGGCAGCAGCAGACTGGGGGTGACTGTGCAAGGGGGTTGAGCACCCATGAGCTGGGCCCCAGGCTCCTGTGCCAAGGGAGGGGAGCCGGGGAGCCAGGGCGGCTCTTCTGGGCTGGGCCCCAGTTCTGTCTCGCTGTGATCTGGGATGGACCCCTCGCCGCTGGGAGCTGGCGCTGCAGAGGGTCTGAGCAGGGGCTGGGGCAGGAAATGCAGCACGAGGCGAGGGCCGTGTCTTCCTGCGCCGGGGCTGCCCCTCGGGCTGGGGAAACGGGCAGAGGGAGGCTTGGGGGGAGCTGAGCTCCTTTCTGGCTCTGTGCTGCTGTGCCGGAGCCCTGGACACGCCCCCCCATGCCAGCTGGCCGTTGTGTGTGTGTCACGCTCCGCAGCCGGGCTTGCTTCCTGAGCGGGGGCCTACGGCTCAGGGCACCCGGGTTCCAGGCCGGGGGTGGAGTCTTGCTGCTGATGACTGGAACCCACAGCCGGGGGAAGGGCTCAAGACATTTCCCGGAGCTGCCTGGGGCTGTGCTTGCCTCTTCCCGGGCTGGTTCTCCTGGGACTGCTGCCTCTGCCCCTAACGAAGGGGTGGGAAATGGAACCCAGGACTCTGAAAAGGGGAAACTGAGGCACTGAGCTCGTGACAAGAAGACAGGAGTCCTGTCCCCTAGCCTGCCTGCTCTAACCACTAGACCTCACTCCCCTCCTGGAGCTGGGGAGACAACCCAGGGGTCCAGGTTACCACCTCTCCACTGTAAACCTAGACACCACTCTGCAGGACTCAGCATTGCAGCCTGCCTGGTGCTTGGGTTCCAGCTCCCATGTCTCCCCACTGCTGCCCCCCAACATGGAGCCTTACGGGGCTCTCCAGCCCAGCTCACGTGCCCGGGAGCAGCATCCCCTTTCTGGAGCTGGCGGGGGGCCAATGTGAAATCAAAACTTTTAGCCCCATTCTCCTCTGCCCCCCTTCCCCACTGCGGGGAACCCCCTGCTGCGTGGCCGGCCGGCTGTGCTGTAGCTGGAGTATCGGCCTGGGGGGATACCTGGGGGGCCGCTGGGTTGACCTGTCCCCTGCAGGGGACCCCTCAATGGACACGCCCTGGTGGTCAGGATTGGCGCCCAGGGCGCAGCGGCTGCACACAGCCCCACGCCCGGCCAGAGCGCTGGCACAGGGGCCGTGGGGCTTTCCTGGACTTGCCCAGAGACTCAGGCCGAAAGGCGGAACCGGGGCACGTGCTGTCTGGGTGCCTGGAGGCGTCACTCCCCTCCCGGGCTCCGGCCGCTAGGCCCGTCTAGCTCCAAGGCGGGCAAGAGACGGAGCATCCCCCGGGGCTAAGGGCCTGCGCTCATAAGACTCCTCGCCTAGCTTCTCGGGGGCCCGTCCTGCTCTGGGGTACCCCCCGCCCCCCAGGGCCTGGAGAGGCCCGTCTAGCTCCAAGGCGGGCAAGAGACGGAGCATCCCCCGGGGCTAAGGGCCTGCGCTCATAAGACTCCTCGCCTAGCTTCTCGGGGGCCCGTCCTGCTCTGGGGTACCCCCCGCCCCCCAGGGCCTGGAGGCCCTGGCCCCGC